CCGGTGGACGACATCCGCGACGATTCGGTGGCGAAATGATGATCAGAGCTGAGGAACTGTCGGCCAACAAACAGATCGCTCTCATCTCATTCGCGGCCACAAATTTGGACAAAAAAGACTTTATGGGCAAATCTGATCCATATTTGACACTCTCGAGAGCCAACACCGACGGCACGTTCAGTGTTGTCCACAAGACTGAAGTGATCAAAAACACATTGACTCCTCAGTGGAGAGCATTCAACATAAAAGTGCAACAATTATGTGGAGGAGATTACGAGCGAAACATTAAAGTCGATTGTTATGATTGGGATGAGAACAGCGCCCACGACCTCATCGGCTCCTTCACCACAAACCTCCGACGACTGTCTGCCGGACCCTCACAACAGAACTTATATGAGGTTTGCATTTCTTCGCTCGTATTTAACAATACATGAACTCTTGATTAACGAAATATTTGTATGATTTCAGTGCATAAACGCCGACAAAAAGAAACGGAAGGGAAAGTCTTACCAGAATTCAGGTGTCGTTAAACTGAACAGTATATCCATAACACAAGAGACAACATTTCTGGACTATATTCGCGGCGGAACTCAAATGCATTTCGCGGTCGCCGTTGACTATACGGCCTCTAACGGCGACCCCCGAGACCCCCGTTCTCTGCATTTCCTCGACTATAGCGGTCGTCCCAATCAGTATGAAATCGCCTTACGATCTGTTGGCGAAGTAATCAAATCATACGACACGCAGGGATTATATCCCAGCTATGGATTCGGTGCCAAATTGCCAACCGGACAGGTCTCACATCTGTTCCCATTGAATAACAATATGTCGTATCCGTACTGTCGAGGAATCGATGAGATAATCAGTTGCTATAAATCCACGTTAAGCACAATTACACTTCACGGGCCGACAAACTTTGCGCCCATTATTAACAATACGGCTTCGATTGCTTCGCGATTCCAAGACGGGAAGCATTACTTTGTTCTTCTCATCATCACTGATGGCGTCATTTCCGATATGAACGAAACACTCGATGCTATTGTCAACGCGTCTTCTCTCTGCCTCTCTATCATAATAATTGGTTTGCAATTCAATACACTTTCTATGATTAACTCAAATAATGAATATTCAAATTGAAAACAACTTTTTAAAACAATTGATTGAATCCGTGTATTGACAGGAGTGGGAAACGCGGACTTCACGTCAATGGACTTTCTCGATGGCGACGGCAATACTATTGTTTCGCACGGCAAACGAGCGCTTAGGGATATCGTACAGGTGTGTAACGCGTGCTTTGATGGCCACAATTATCGTTATTTAATAGTCAATTGTCTTTGTTTGTCACAATAGTTTGTTCCGCTGAATCGATACGTTTCTGGCGATTGGCAACAGAATCAGTTCGAGTTGGGAAGGGCTGTGTTGGCGGAGATCCCAACGCAGTTCATGCAATTCATGCAATCGCGAGGCTATAAACCTGGAGCTGCGGGTCAGGGTGCAGGGGTTGGCATTTTCCCCGAACCCACCGGCAAAGAATCGGCGCCTATTTATCCGTCAATTCCTTCTCAGCCTCCATCCGCTCCTACGGCTCATCACCAGTCATACCCACAACCGGCCCCTTCAGCGCCCGGCTCTTATCCCAGTAATCCTTCGTACCCGAGCGGTCCCACCACTAACCCAACCGCGCCTTCAGCTCCCGGCTCTTACCCTAATCCTTCTTATCCCACCCCTCCGAGTGCTTACCCTCCGTCAGGTCCTAATCAATATCCCTCATCCGGTTATCCGCCTTCTGCTCCAAATCCATACCCGCCTTCTTCTGGTCCCAACCCATATCCACCTTCAGGTCCTAATCCATACCCACCTTCTGGTGCCAACCCATACGCCCCAAGCAGTGCGTACCCACCGTCGGGCCCAAACCCTTATCCAGCTCCTGGTTCCCAATACCCACCTGCAAGCGGTTACCCACCTTCTGGCCCTAATCCGTATCCACCGACTGGTGCTTATCCCCCAACGAGTGGATATCCGGGAGCGCCCAATGCAGGTCCCGGTGGACCGAACCCTTATCCACCTTCAAGTGGTTATCCGAGTGCTCCGACCAACTCTTCATACCCGGCCCCCACTTCATACCGACCCAATTATCCCCCGTATTAACAATAAATGCCAATATTATCGCAAGCCTTCGACTCTTAACTGTGATATTTAAGCGACAAATGTTTAAATATGTTTTGCATTAAAAGCCGTCTTTTCGTTATGAGTGACTAAATGAACAAAAGAAATATTAAACCGATTCTCACATTCATAATACGCCAAAGCCTTAAAAGCGTGTTGTATTTATTCATGCTTTAATCTACTATCTAATCGACCTTAATGTACGAAAGGTATATAAACTATAATTAATTGTTGACNCAAAACATTGCAATAGTTTTGTTGAATCAGACTTTCGATGAAATCCTTTTCCAATTGATGGCAATCTTTGGCCAACTCTTCAAACAAATACACGTCTAATCGTTGACTCATTTTCACGACTCAAACACAACTAATTATAATTACAATTGAATTACAATTCATTGAAAAACACATTCAATTCAATAGAAAAACACGTTTTTTCAAAACCAAAATGTTTTGCAATGAAAGTCACGTGACATTCATGTGCTTTCATTTCATGCGTTTAAATGCCATTCAATTGACAATACAAACACACTTTGCCTGCAATTTGTCACTCATTTTCACCATTAATTCAATTCAATTTATATTAATTGTTATGTTTAATGATATTATGTGTAAATTGTTTATAAACTCAATTAAATGAGTGATCATATGATTAAAATGTGTGCCAATTGTGTTGTCTTCACGATATGTTTGCTGTGATGTTGTGTTAGTGTCCGGACTATCGGCGGCTAAACGTTGGCCAACACTTGAATGCAATTAAGTTTATTAATAGTATTGTTAATCATCTAATGATTTCCATCTGGCGTTGAAAAGCAAGTGATGGTGACGTCAGTCATCCCCTCATGAGTGACGTGTTGTTCACTATTAGGAAGAGACGCCCAAACCTGTCATAAATTGCTCACATTTTTGTAATCATTGCCTTATTTTGAAACAAATATAACAGTAATTAGAAATATATTGATTTCATTGCAATTCCGGTCGTTTAAAACACACATCACTTTGTTTTCAATTTAATTAACTATTATTTGCGATTGAAATGTACGGCAATTCAAGCGTCCGTTTGGACACAATCAGTGGCCACAGCCAGAAGTTGGCCGCAAACTCGCAGATAGAGTTGAGTCTATCGGCCAGAAAACTGGTCAATCGGGACATCACATCCAAGTCTGATCCCCAGTGTATCGCTTATATCAGACACGGATTGAGCGATAAGTACATCGAAATCGGGAGAACGGAAGTGATTAAAGACAATCTGAATCCCGATTGGGTTAAGAAATTTGATATTCAATTCAAGTTTAATGAAAGCCAACAATTGAAGTTTGAGATCTGGGACGTCGACCCCGTCTCTGGCAACGAGTTCTTGGGACAGATGATTGTCGAGTTGGCCGCTATTCTCGCCGCCAATGGCGGCACTTATAAGCAAAAGTTGACGACCGGTGGACGACATCCGCGACGATTCGGTGGCGAAATGATGATCAGAGCTGAGGAACTGTCGGCCAACAAACAGATCGCTCTCATCTCATTCGCGGCCACAAATTTGGACAAAAAAGACTTTATGGGGAAATCTGATCCATATTTGACACTCTCGAGAGCCAACACCGACGGCACGTTCAGCGTTGTCCACAAGACTGAAGTGATCAAAAACACATTGACTCCTCAGTGGCGAGCATTCAATATAAAAGTGCAACAATTATGTGGAGGAGATTACGAGCGAAACATTAAAGTTGATTGTTATGATTGGGATGAGAACAGCGCCCACGACCTCATCGGCTCATTCACCACAAATCTCCGCCGACTGTCTGCCGGACCCTCACAACAGAACTTATATGAGGTTTGCATTTCTTCGCTCGTATTTAACAATACATTAACTCTTGATTTACGAAATATTTGTATGATTTCAGTGCATAAACGCCGACAAAAAGAAACGGAAGGGAAAGTCTTACCAGAATTCAGGTGTCGTTAAACTGAACAGTATATCCATAACACAAGAGACAACATTTTTGGACTATATTCGCGGCGGAACTCAAATGCATTTCGCGGTCGCCGTTGACTATACGGCCTCTAACGGCGACCCACGAGACCCCCGGTCTCTGCACTTCCTTGACTATAGCGGTCGTCCCAATCAGTATGAAATCGCCTTACGATCTGTTGGCGAAGTAATCAAATCATACGACACGCAGGGATTATATCCCAGCTATGGATTCGGTGCCAAATTGCCAACCGGACAGGTCTCACATCTGTTCCCATTGAATAACAATATGTCGTNGACTATAGCGGTCGTCCCAATCAGTATGAAATCGCCTTACGATCTGTTGGCGAAGTAATCAAATCATACGACACGCAGGGATTATATCCCAGCTATGGATTCGGTGCCAAATTGCCAACCGGACAGGTCTCACATCTGTTCCCATTGAATAACAATATGTCGTATCCGTACTGTCGAGGAATCGATGAGATAATCAGTTGCTATAAATCCACGTTAAGCACAATTACACTTCACGGGCCGACAAACTTTGCGCCCATTATTAACAATACGGCTTCGATTGCTTCGCGATTCCAAGACGGGAAGCATTACTTTGTTCTTCTCATCATCACTGATGGCGTCATTTCCGATATGAACGAAACACTCGATGCTATCGTCAACGCGTCTTCTCTCTGCCTCTCTATCATAATAATTGGTTTGCAATTCAATACACTTTCTATGATTAACTCAAATAATGAATATTCAAATTGAAAACAAGTTTTTAAAACAATTGATTGAATCCGTGTATTGACAGGAGTGGGAAACGCGGACTTCACGTCAATGGACTTTCTCGATGGCGACGGCAATACTATTGTTTCGCACGGCAAACGAGCGGTTAGGGATATCGTACAGGTGTGTAACGTGTGCTTTGATTCCCACAATTACCGTTATTTAATAGTCAATTGTCTTTGTTTGTCACAATAGTTTGTTCCGCTGAATCGATACGTTTCTGGCGATTGGCAACAGAATCAGTTCGAGTTGGGAAGGGCTGTGTTGGCGGAGATCCCAACGCAGTTCATGCAATTCATGCAATCGCGAGGCTATAAACCTGGAGCTGCGGGTCAGGGATCAGCCGTTGGTATTTTCCCCGAACCCACCGGCAAAGAATCGGCGCCTATTTATCCGTCAATTCCCTCTCAGCCTCCATCCGCTCCTACGGCTCATCACCAGTCATACCCACAACCGGCCCCTTCAGCGCCCGGCTCTTATCCAAGTAATCCTTCGTACCCGAGCGGTCCCCCCACTAACCCAACCGCACCTTCAGCCCCCAGCTCTTACTCCAATCCTTCTTATCCCACCCCTCCGAGTGCTTACCCTCCGTCAGGTCCTAATCAATATCCCTCATCCGGTTATCCGCCTTCTGCTCCAAATCCATACCCGCCTTCTTCTGGTCCCAACCCATACCCACCTTCTGGTCCTAATCCATATCCACCTTCTGGTGCTAACCCATACGCCCCAAGCAGTGCGTACCCACCCTCGGGCCCAAACCCTTATCCAGCTCCTGGTTCCCAATACCCACCCGCAAGCGGTTACCCTCCTTCTGGCCCTAATCCGTATCCACCGACTGGCGCTTATAAAGCGGTTACGGGAAGAGTTGGTATCGATTCGAGCGGAGAATTTGCAGTTAAAAGAAGACGGACTGAAGCATAGGATTCGGAGTGGAATAACGTCTTCAATATCTGGCGATAAGTTAATGCACTCACAATCGGAAGCGTTGTCACAGAAGTTGGCCTCCAATCAGGCGCTAACACTCACTCCACAGCTATTGGGAATCGCATTGATTTTGTTGATCGCCGGCGTATTGATAGGCAAAACGTTGTTTTAAATTTTCTAACGATATATTACTGCAAATTATAAAAATTTTTAATTCTAATTGAATTTGGATTCACTTCTTCTGTTTGTATATAATTAGACCTCAATTCTGATGATGTATTTAATGTCTTATATAACGAAAACAAAAGGTCTATTAAGTTAACAGATTTCTCTCAAAAACAACAACAGTCTCTCAATTAGGAAATTCGTTTTTAGTTTACTCTTTCACTTCAAAAACAACAACTAATTAAAGCTATAAAAACCATTTAAATTCACTCTATTTTAAAGATTATATAAATTAAATCGTTTTAAAAAATTAAAATATATTTCAAATAATTAAAGAGTTTTTTGTTTATAAGTTATAATCAAATTTTTGGACATAAATTGTTTGTTTCATATGAAATGTTTAAACAGCTTTTAGAATAATATTCTATATATTATACCAATTATTTAGTGCAATACAAGTAAATATATCTAAAGATTACAATTAATTATCAAAAATAATGGTTAATTTGTAGTGAAATAACACACACTTTGCGGTCTCGGAAGCCGACCGACGCGAGACATGATATAAATAAACATATAATGGGCTCATCTTTGCGTTCAATACTCATCAGTCATTTGTTTTTTAATTATAAACAAAATAACTGTTTTTGTATTAATTTAATTAATGCAAAAGGTTTTTCCCAAACTTAATATAACAGTAATCGCTTTTAAAGCAGTTATCAATTCTTATAAATAATAACAATTAAATTTGATTAAACATAAAAATTTTATTTATAAATAGCCAGTTTATTTTTCAAGTCACTAAATATCTATCTGTACTACAATATCAATTAGTCCGATCCCATGTATGTCTTTATAATTTGTATTAAAGCTAAAGTTCCTAAACGTTAAACACTTGTCAGTCATATATGCGTTACCGGTATATGTGGTCACAAACGTAAGGATCTTTTTGTTATAGATATTTATGTTATTCTTTCAACGAATAAATGATTCAAATAATAGACAAATTCATTTCCAAATATAAATTTTTAATATAACAAATTAATGGCACAAATAAGTCAACAATTAATTATAGTTTATATACCTTTCGTACATTAAGGTCGATTAGATAGTAGATTAAAGCATGAATAAATACAACACGCTTTTAAGGCTTTGGCGTATTATGAATGTGAGAATCGGTTTAATATTTCTTTTGTTCATTTAGTCACTCATAACGAAAAGACGGCTTTTAATGCAAAACATATTTAAACATTTGTCGCTTAAATATCACAGTTAAGAGTCGAAGGCTTGCGATAATATTGGCATTTATTGTTAATACGGGGGATAATTGGGTCGGTATGAAGTGGGGGCCGGGTATGAAGAGTTGGTCGGAGCACTCGGATAACCACTTGAAGGTGGATAAGGGTTCGGTCCACCGGGACCTGCATTGGGCGCTCCCGGATATCCACTCGTTGGGGGATAAGCACCAGTCGGTGGATACGGATTAGGGCCAGAAGGTGGGTAACCGCTTGCAGGTGGGTATTGGGAACCAGGAGCTGGATAAGGGTTTGGGCCCGACGGTGGGTACGCACTGCTTGGGGCGTATGGGTTGGCACCAGAAGGTGGGTATGGATTAGGACCTGAAGGTGGATATGGGTTGGGACCAGAAGAAGGCGGGTATGGATTTGGAGCAGAAGGCGGATAACCGGATGAGGGATATTGATTAGGACCTGACGGAGGGTAAGCACTCGGAGGGGTGGGATAAGAAGGATTAGGGTAAGAGCCGGGAGCTGAAGGCGCGGTTGGGTTAGTGGTGGGACCGCTCGGGTACGAAGGATTACTGGGATAAGAGCCGGGCGCTGAAGGGGCCGGTTGTGGGTATGACTGGTGATGAGCCGTAGGAGCGGATGGAGGCTGAGAAGGAATTGACGGATAAATAGGCGCCGATTCTTTGCCGGTGGGTTCGGGGAAAATGCCAACCCCTGCACCCTGACCCGCAGCTCCAGGTTTATAGCCTCGCGATTGCATGAATTGCATGAACTGCGTTGGGATCTCCGCCAACACAGCCCTTCCCAACTCGAACTGATTCTGTTGCCAATCGCCAGAAACGTATCACCCTGACCCGCAGCTCCAGGTTTATAGCCTCGCGATTGCATGAATTGCATGAACTGCGTTGGGATCTCCGCCAACACAGCCCTTCCCAACTCGAACTGATTCTGTTGCCAATCGCCAGAAACGTATCGATTCAGCGGAACAAACTATTGTGACAAACAAAGACAATTGACTATTAAATAACGATAATTGTGGCCATCAAAGCACGCGTTACACACCTGTACGATATCCCTAAGCGCTCGTTTGCCGTGCGAAACAATAGTATTGCCGTCGCCATCGAGAAAGTCCATTGACGTGAAGTCCGCGTTTCCCACTCCTGTCAATACACGGATTCAATCAATTGTTTTAAAAAGTTGTTTTCAATTTGAATATTCATTATTTGAGTTAATCATAGAAAGTGTATTGAATTGCAAACCAATTATTATGATAGAGAGGCAGAGAGAAGACGCGTTGACAATAGCATCGAGTGTTTCGTTCATATCGGAGATAACGCCATCAGTGATGATGAGAAGAACAAAGTAATGCTTCCCGTCTTGGAATCGCGAAGCAATCGAAGCCGTATTGTTAATAATGGGCGCAAAGTTTGTCGGCCCGTGAAGTGTAATTGTGCTTAACG